CAACAGGAACTCTTCATGTTTTTCCACTTGCTGAAGCAAGATTTCATGGGAAAGTTATTTCTTGTTTTCTCTCTGCAACATTCATACTTAAAACTTGCTTTTCTTATTTTTTTTTTTCAGTGGGTCTTAACTTCATTTCAGGCCAGACACCACATGACAGTGAGGCTTTCAAAACCTACTGATACGGATTTTCTGCCATCTAGGCAACCTTAAGCTTGACATTTCATTTTCCCAGAGTAACCAAAAGGAGGCATACATTTGATCAAGAAAGGGAATTATTTTACCAATTTAACCAGTAGAAAGAATTATCATGTGCAGATGCCTTACTCATATGCATAAATGGAAGTCTCTCAAATTCCATACAATGGAATAGAAACTACTTCTGCAGAAGTTGGTGTTATCTTTGTGGAACAGAGTTGCAAAGAGTAAATCTCAGATAGTAAATCCTTTCTGGGAATCCTGCCACAAAAACTTCGAGCAAGAGCTTTATTTTAGTTAAAATATTCAAAGAGCTGAGCATTAAATGTTCCACAGACAAGGAACGTATAGCATAATTGGTTTCCTGCAGATCCAGCAAGCCAAATTCTTTCTCCTGTAAGTAACTACAGTTCTATCAATCTTGGTGGAGCTTTGCCTGTATACACGAGAAGCAATGTTTGCTCTGGATGCTTTTCACCATTTTTTTTTTTTAATAGAAACATAGAATAGTTTGGGTTGGAAGGGACCTCTAAAGGTCATCTAGTCCAACCCCCCTGCCGTGGGCAGGGACATCTTCAGCTAGATCAGGTTGCTCAGAGCCCCGTCCAACCTGACCTGGAATGTTTCCAGGGATGGGGCAGCCACCACCTCTCTGGGCAACCTGTGCCAGTGCTTCACCACCCTCAGCATAAAAAATTTCTTCTATCTAGTCTAAGTCTTCCCCCCTTTAGTTTAAAGCCATTCCCCCTTGTCCTGTCGCAACAGGCCCTGCTAAAGAGGTTGCCACCATCTTTTTTATAAGCCCCCTTTAAGTACTGATAGGCTGCAAGGTGGTCTCCCCAAAGCCTTCTCTTCTCTAGGCTGAACAACCCCAACTCTCTCAGCCTTTCTTCAGAGGAGAGGTGTTCCATCCCCCTGAGCATTTTCGTGGCCCTCCTCTGGACCCGCTCCAACAGGTCCGTGTCTT